GGGGAGGTGCTCGGATCGAGATGCCACTTGCAAAACTAAAATTTTTGGCACCTCACTCAACTTGATCGGACATCGACAAAAGGTCGCACCACGCTATCAAAGTTTAACATGGAGCTCTTATGGGAAAATGACCTGAAAAGTAAACTTTTTAAAAAATAGGCTTATCATTGCAAAAATTTTGCATTTTGATTCCAGAAATGAAATCTGCACGTCAAAACAAATCCAGTGATGTGCCACACTTGGTGTTGTATTCAAGGGTCCGTGGCCAGGTGGGGCCGTAACTTAGCTAAATTCTACTAAAAATGGCAAGAAGATCCATAAATTAGCATCTCTCAGCGGGTGCTCCTTTGGTGGAACACCAAGTGTGGCACATCACTGGGTGTGTTTTTGACGTGTAGATTTCATTTCTGGAAACAAAATTCAAAATTTTTGCAATGACAAGCCCATTTTCAAAAAAAGTTACTTTTAGGTCATTTTCCCATAAGAGGTCTGTGGTAAACTTTGGTAGCGTGGTGCGACCTTTTTCCTATGTCCGATCAAGTTGAGTGAGATGTCAACAATTTTAGTTTTGCAAGTGGCCTCTCGATCCGAGCACCCCCCCCCCCCTTACTTTTTGAGCCTTCAGTTTTTTTTGCCGCCCTCTCGCGGGACACGCTCGTGGCTCGAGCCCGGTTAAAACGGCAGGGGTGGCGCAGCCGCGCCCCGGCATCGAACCGAGAACCGGCGTCGGGCTGCATCAGCTGAGCGACGTGTCCCCCCCTCCCCCTTATGCTCCCCGCTTGTCCTGGCCGAGCCTAGGGTAGAGAGACTCAGAGGGAGAGAGCCGTCAACTCGGGGCCCCGCACGCTGCGCTGTGATTGGGTCGGCACTGCTAGGCGCTGCGCCCGCTGGTTGGCCGGGCCGCAGGAATACGGACCAGATACGGTGACTGAATACCTACTGAATACCGGCCCCCCCGCACCGCGCCCGCTGCCCCCGCTGGCCCTACGCGCGCCCCCCACCTTCTCCGCTGGAGTCGCCACTGCGATCGGCGCGTCCTTCTTCTCTCCCTTCTACTTCCTCCTCTTCTCCCTTCCATCCTTATCCTGCGTGCGCTGCGCTCCCCCGCGCCAAGAAAGCGGCTTTTAGCCAGCAGCTCCAGCCACCAGCATGGCCTATCCGTAAGGGAGGAAGCGCGCGCCTATCCGTTCTTACAAGTCAAGACTGGCATGTGCACAACCCTGCTCTGTCGATTGCCTACCTTTCAGGCGGGTCATTAAAACTCAGTGAGCATTTTTAAAAAAGTTAAAAGGGGGAATAGAAGCAGATTGTGGTGCCACAGCAAGGGCTCTTCGAGGCACTCGTTGTGCTTGAGGTGCAGGGTTGGTGAAGCGCCAGGGGCGCAGGAGATAGTGGCAGGGGATGGGGGTGAGTGTGGGGAGGCAGAGAGGTGGGCCCTCACTGATCCGCGAACAGGTGGACACCATTCGCGAGCAGGTGGAGCGGCTCGCGGCTCTGTGCATC